AAAAAAAAAACTGTTTCTGTCTGGGTTCCAGTTCATACATACATGAGTTTATTCCAAATTTAAAATGTCTAAACATGTCTCTGTGATTAGTGTGTGGCTGCAGACAGGTTCTCTCAGTAAAACACATGTTTCATTAGTTTGCCTTCAAAAAAAAGATACTTTTTGTGCCATGGAATTAAAAACAAAAACGATTCTGAGGTCAGGGCCAATATCAAATTTTTAACAAAACTCAAGTGGTTATCTTCCCAAATCATTGAAGTTTTTCAATGAGTTTACAGGACTTCTGCCCCACATTAAAAAAAAAAAAAAACAAAAAACAAAAACCACCACCAGTTTTTACAAGAATCAAGCGTTTTAAGGAAGGTAAGTTAGACCTCAAAGATGAACCAAGAGAAAGAAGGTTGTCAACCTTGACAAATGAAAAAACTGTGGCTGACATCCAGAAAACAGTGGGAAAAGGCCTTAGAACCAACATTGATGTTAGAACTACTGAAGCTGGAATCTCACATGGTTCAGTGTTTTCTGTTGTGACTGGGTAGGTTGGCCTCAGATTACAAGATCAGCTGGCTCAAAGAGCTGATCTTTCCATCAGGTTTTTAAGCAAGATTAAAGTTAATGAAGATCATTTTATGGAATGATTCATAACCAGGGACAAGTCTTAGATTTTCCAATATGATTCATAGAGCAAGGCCCAGTCAGAACAGTGGCTTCTGAGAAGATCTATTGGGCCAGTTAAATTCAAGGCAATTCAAATACAGCCAGCTCAAAAGGTTATGGTGATACCCAGAGAAACAGAGATGCCAGAGATAAGAGACAGAGATGATGACGTGGAGTGATGAATCGACTGGGGACTTTGGACCCATAGAGGGAAAGGGACTGTGGGCCGAAAACTGGGGGGAGGAGAGGGAAGTGTAGGGGGAGGGTTTCTGGGATATACCCTTTGGGTGGTTGATGATGCATGGAGGGGACTGGAACCATGGCAATGAGATGATATACGATGAAATGAATGTAAAACTAAAGTTCTCACATGTAAACGATCATATAATTCACAATAAAAATGTAAACAAACACAAAAAAGTATATATATTGTTGTTAAGTAAGTGCTGATGAGTGGTTTCTGACTCATAACAACCCTGTATAGGATTTCTGAGGAGCAGCTGGTGGGTTTGAACCACCAACCTTGTTGTTCACAGTCCGCTGCATGCATATCCTATAGCTCCACACATGGTGTAAAAAATTCAAACAGTACAGAAAAAAAAAATAGAAAATCCACCCCTGTAGAGAAAACAGAAGATGTATGTCTTTGCTGTAACTGTATATCTACTGAGTGCATGTGTACATATATACTTATTAAAGCTTTGTGTTTTTTGCACAAAAAAATAAAAACCTACAGTTGCAGTTGAATCAGTTCTGACTGTGGCAACCTTATATGTATCAGAGTAGAACTGTGCTCCATAGGGTTTTTGGTTGTGGTGGTGGTGGTATGCCATCAAGTCGGTTCCCACTCATAGCCACCACCCTGCGCTGGGGTTTCTGAGGCTGTATATCTTTATGGGAGTAGAAAGCCTCATCTTGCTCCCATGGAGTGGCTGGCATATTCAAACTGCTAATCTTATCGCTAGCAACCCAATACATAAACCACTCTGCTAGGGTTTTTAGTGACGGGTGTTTCAGAAGTAGGTCACCAGCCTTTTCATCTGAGTAACCTCTCAGGTAGACCCCAACCTCCAATTTTTAAGTTAGCAGCCAGCACATTAACCATTTGTATCACCCTGATTCTCCATTGTTGTTGTTAGGTGCCATCGAGTCCGTACCGACTCATAGTGACCTTATGCACAACAGAACGAAACACTGCCCGATCTTGGCCCAACCTCACTACTGTTGCCACACATGAATCCATTGATGTGCCACTTGGCCAGTCCACCTCGTAAGGGGGGGTCTTCCTCTTTTCTCTGACCCTCCACCTTACCATACATGATTTCCTTCTCCAACAACTGGTCCCTCCTGACAATATGTCCAAAGTAGGAGAGACGAAGTTTGGCCATCCTGGCCTCCAAGGAGCACTCTGGCTACACTTCTTCCAAAACGGATCTATTGGTTCTTTTGGCAGCCCATGACACGTTCAATATTCTCCAACACCATAACTCAAAATCATCAATTCTTTTATGGTCTTCCTTATTCACTGTCCAGCTTTCACATGCATATGAGGTTATTGAAAATACCCTGGCTTGGGTCAGGCTCACCTTAGTCCTCAAGCTGACATCTTTGCTCTTCAACACTTTAAAAAGTTCTTGTGCAACAGATTTGCCTAATGCAATACATCATTTGATTTCTTGACTGCTGCTTCCTGTGAGTGTTGATAGTTGATCCAAGAAGAATAAAGTTCTTGACAACTTCAATCTTTTCTCCAATGATAAGAATGTTGTTTATTGGTCCAGTGGTGAGGATTTTTGTTTTCTTTACACTGAGATGTAATCCATACCGAAGGCTGTGCTCTTTGATCTTCATCAATAAACATTTTAAGTCTTCTTCACTTTCAGCAAGCAAGGTTGTGTCATCTGCATATCGCAGGTTGTTAACGAGTCTTCCTCCAATCCTGATGCCA